GCGATGCTCCTGCCCCCTCCCCGCCGCAGCCAGCTTCTCCCTAAGGTCAGCCTGTCACCTGCTGTCGCTCCCTCCAAGCAGCAGCCACAATCGGCCCTTATTTTCCTCCTAAGTTGTTGGCCCTTTGGAAGTAGGGAACATACACTATTCATCATTTTACAACCCCCCCCCAATGGGTAGAAATGGGATCTGGCCCGTATTAGGAACCCCCATAAATACTTTTGGAAGGAAGAGAGGTTTGAATGAATGAATGAATGAATGAATGAATGAATGAATGAATGAATGAATGAATGAATGAATGAATGAGTGAATGAATGACAATGCATCTATTGGTAAGGTTGATGAGTCAGACAGGTAAGATAACAAACCCTTACATTGTGTTCTATAGGCCAGGCATACTCTGAAGACTAACCCTAAGCTTCCAGTTTTACCAGTAGAGGGTTTGTTGGTTTTTTAATACCCACACTTTCTAAAAGAGTAGAACCTCTCAATGGGACGCATTCCAGTTGTTCATATAAGGAAAAAATTATTTACATTCCCCCAAACTCAGCACAGGCTCCAGGTTTTCCTCGCAGAAATCTGATTTTTCAGAGAGGGGTTACTGCTATCAAGCGGGACGTTCCCGTATTCACTTATTTGTCACAAGAAGCCGGTGGGTTGGATGCTGTTGTTCCCATTATACGGATGAGGAAACTGAGGCACGGACAAGATTAAATAATTGCTCGAGGTCATACAGCCTGGAAGCAGCAGAATCAAATTTCAAACCTAAGCCCCCTGCTCCAGGGTCTGTTCGGCTACTGAGCTAGTGTGCCCGACTGTTGTGCTTTCACACTTAGGAGTGTGTCCTGAGTACAGTGGAAATTTCTGGCAAGCATTGGAATTCACAAATTAGGGGGGGAAAAACCCCCAAAACCTGCCTTCACAGGGAACTAAAATAATTGACAGGATGCAAATAGAATGCCCGCCGAAGGAAGGAAATAACCGAAGTCGCCTGTATACCTGTACGAGGATTTGCAGACGCACCTGTGCTAGTCATCAGCTTATGGCCTCTCAGCTCCACATTCATCCTTTTTGGCTGCTCTGTGAAAATGCAGTCGGGTCCTTTAAATATGTTTCCTTTGCCTGGACCAGCCAGATGTTCAGCTTTGTCAGTAGAGGGCACCGTGGTGACATTATGGGAAGAAGGGGCCTTCTTCTTGGTTACAGGGTGCTTCTGTCTGCAGACTCCTGGAGGACAGGCGGCTCCTCAAGCACCTGACCCCTGCAGTCCACAGTGGCCCACAGCATCCAACGGCCCGCCGCTTCCCCAGGCAACACCCGCAGGCAGTGTCACAGCAGAGTGTCCCTAGGGGGACCCCTGCCGGGGAACGACTTTCTCTGGCGCCTGAAGGGGTATGACTTTTATGAGACTGTGCTCTGCTAACTGTAGGCACTTATTATTCTATGAGTTACCTACTTTCGTAACTACCTGTGGCCTATCACTTCTTTTACATCACATCTCTTACTAATTACGGTAATGGGGAGGGAGGCATCTAGAAGAGAAGCTTAATGTGTTCTATTTCGGCCCGTCGGTGAATGTAAAAATGACATTGTTGCCTTGCTACAACCCAGCCTGCTGTCATGTGGAACAAACGTTTAAGTCTTGAGATCCACGTTAACAGGTGGAGCTGAGCTAAACTCCCTGTGGTTTTTCAGGTAACTCTTGACTATGACATGGCCCGTGACATCAGTCCAAGGAGTGATGAGGTGCCAGTGTGGAAACGGGTCTTTAGTTTTTTGCACCCATTCTAACCCAAGAGCCTTTTCCTCACATGGGTACTGTATCTGTTTACAGATTATAGGCAGATCTAACTTAAAAGCTTGGTTTAACGAACATTTACTACCACCACCCCCCCAAAAATAAATAAGACACAGCCCTCTTGCCTCCTTACTTGCTACATTTCCCACATGGGAGTCTTGTTATTGTTTGAATGGACAGACATACAAACCTATTTCGTGGCCAAGTTCGAATACAATGGCATTAGGTAGAAAGGAGCTGGCCTTTGCACATTAACAGCCCTCTGCCCCTTCAGACCACCCCAGGACACAAAGCAAAGCTCAGCCACGTCTGAAACCTGTGTCCCCTGTCCCCCCCACCCTGCGGTCAGCTCTGCTTCCAAAGAGCTCTTTTCTCCCTCTCCGGGGGACTGCCACCCGCCGGCCTCCCTTCCCAGTGCTCTATTTGCATGTGCTAGCCTTTTTATTGCAAATAGGGCTCTAAATCTTACTTCGGAAATGGATACTGCGCTGTGTGCGTGCGCACGTGCGAGGGAAGCTATCAATAACGTTAGTTATGAAAACCTGATCATAAGTGTTTTTAGTCCATTAGCCGTTTCACTTTATTTATGTCCCCCTCTCAGGCAGGGTTTGGAGCCAATATTCAAAAGGTGGAGCTCGGATGAAGAACATCAGGAGAGGGTATAAAACACTGTCACACTGCTTCGTGCTGGGAAATATTTCTTCCTTATGTTATTTCTCTAAACAGTTCCCAACAATCCAGGATCCTCTAGGGGAATGAGGAGTTGCAGGAAGAGGAACTGGGCCACGGATATTATTGATTTCAGAGAGAGGAAGGGAGAGGGAGAGAGAGAGAAACATCAGTGATGAGAGTCATTGATCCGGGGCCTCCTGCTCGCCCCCTGCTGGGGACGGAGCCCGCAACCCGGGCCTGTGCCCTCACCGGGAATCGAACTAGAGACCTCTTGGTGGATGGGGGGATGTTCAACCAACTGAGCCACACAGGACGGGCAATTTTGACGTATTTTGTTCCATTTCAGCCCCTAACAGGACACGGCTGATTTATAAAATCCGGTTCGCTCTTGCTTGCTGACTTATTTTCCTGATAGCGTGCAGTCCTAACAGTTGGACCTGCAAAGAATGTGTCCTCTCTGCCTTTCCTGGTGTCCAGTCACTGTCACCTGTCGGGACTGCTGGTGTGTGGGTACCAATTTGATGTATCCTTGAAGCCATAGCCGGGGTCTTGCCACAGCGGGGAGTGTGGGGAAATGCCAGCCCAGGGCCTTGGCTCTGTGCGTCACCCCCAGCCGCAGGTAGCAGGCCTGTGGCCATCACCCCCCAAGCTCTGCCTGTGTTTCTTAAAGTCCAAAGAGAGCTGGGAGAGAAACCAAGACTGGAGAGGGAAAGGCTGCTTTGAATAATCCCTCTTTTGTATCATAGTAAACCCCATAATAATAGAAATGCAAAGGAGAATGCATTTTCTCCAGTAGGTTAATAGGCATTTGGGGGCCTTATGAAAAGTATCGAATGTTGGGTCTAATGTCCCTAAACAATAAGCGGTGCTGTAAGTCAGCGTTGGGCCAACGGCCTCGTTTGAGCTGTGCGCACTTCATGGCGAGTGTCTGACTCGTTTGCATTAATTTCTAGTAATGAAAATGCAGATGCGACGTTTTAAATCCTCGTGCAGGCCCCAAATGAAAGCGAACGCGGGCTCCTTGAGTCACCTGGTCCTCCTCTGCGGAGTCGTTTCTAATTGAATGTTAAGATCAAAGTTGAAGTTTATAAGAAAGAAAAACAAGTTCAGATAAATAGTTATGATCTGCCACCCTTATGAAAATTCATGACCTGCAGTTTTATCAGAGACCTTATAAGAATTCTAATTGTGAAGTCTGCCGAGCTATTAAATGGCCGGTCCGAGCCAGTCTCTTGATAAGAAGTGAGTTAAATAATTGTCCTGTTCAACTTGTGCTTGTTAACCTTAAGGTCAACTAGTTTGAACATACGTTTAATGAAATTCTGGAGCCGGAATTTATGATACTGCAGCTGAATGTTAAATTGGACAATTTACATAAGCAGGACATTAACCTTCCGAGCACTAAATAGCATTTTAGCACTTAGCCGCTGGGGACAATAGGGACATGTTCTATATATTTGTGATTAGCTTGCCTGGAAACTCTCATGATGACCAATTGGCCTACCAAGTTTAGCAGCGTAATTAAATGAATGGACTCGGCCTAAGTAAATTATCAGCGCTGTGTATAGTATATCATTACAGTGCGAGGGGAAAGGGAGATATGAATAATTTAATAACACGTTACGAATTTATCAATGCTAAGTGACTTCGAGGAGGCTCTTTGTAGTTCATTGTTTTAAATTCGAGATTTGATTCACTGCTTATGGGATTAAAATTGAACCGATTGCATTTCTTACCAGAAATATATAGAAGTTGTAGGTTTTCTTTCTTTCTTTTTTTTTTTTTTTTGAGGCNTTGTAGGTTTTCTTTCTTTTTTTTTTTTTCCTTGAGGTGAGAGTTGCAGCACGTTCTGCGTTGGGGACATGAGCAGTTACCTACTACTGTGCACATATGAGCAGGTAAACACATCATTTGTCACAATCAGATGTACGCAGGCCCCATGACTTGGGAGCCTTCCCCAGGGGAGGGCACGAACCCCTGCGTTGTTCACGGGCCTGGCTTACTCCCCGGCAGCGACTGTCATTATGGTTTGGGAGGGTCAGGCACCACGGAGAGCACTTTGCACCTCACCTAGGAGCATCCCCACTGACCGTGGAGGCTCAGTTCACCGGAGCTGCGTCCCCTAAACTCAAGCCGACATCAGGCTATTGAACTTCAGCGGCTGACTGCCTATTGGGGGAAACAGCAGGACACCCTGGAGTCAGCTGGGGCCCCTGCCTCTTAGGCGTCTACAGTGAACCCGGCCCAGATCCCAACGCCTGTGAGTGATGGTCTGAGACTCTTCCTTTTACTCCCGAGAGGCCCTGGGTTCTTACTCCCTTGTGCTTCTCTCTTTCCATCTCACTCTCATTGGCCTTGGTCTTTTGTCTCGAGAGACCCTATAAATACTGGACTTAGCCTAGGTCCGGACAATAACTATTGAAACAGGTAGATCTTGGGATATCTCCTTTGGAATCTGTAGCGCCCCCTAACGGTTATCGTGTTCATCCACTTAGGCAGAGTTCACGTGCCAGGCACTAGGGGAACGTTACCAGCTCTGAGTCTTTCCCAAAGGATGCAAATGATTGCATTGCCCTCTTCTTGTTTTCATCTTAGCTAAAAACGCGCTCCAGTAAGCATTTGATGCCTTAATAAGCAGGTCCCCTTGCCCCCCTTTTACTGCCCTTTCATGCTCCCTGTATATCCTTTCTTTTCTTTTTTTTTTCTTTTTTGGCTTGGAATGAATTCTTTCGTAGGGCAAGGATAACCCTACATTATTTCCAGTCAGCACCTGGCTGGAAATATATACCGACGGGCTTCTTTTCATCTCTAAGGACAAACTCGGAGAACTTGAAAAATGAAAGTGTTGGTGCAGCCGCCTGAAAAGATTCGAAACATTCTCTCGACTTCATTGCAACCAGCAGGCACTTTGCAGGGAACACGCTCCCTGCTCCCGGGGAGGAAAAGAAATGCCTCTGACATATTTTCCGCTCAGCCCCCTTGAAGATTCATTCCTTTCATTGCTTCGGGAAGTCAGTCGCACTAACAGGTACCAGTTATTCTGTGCCTGCCTTGGGCTAAATAGAGCTGGTGACAAAAACCCTTTCAGGTTGTCAGGTATTAATGTAAAACACCCCTAGACCCGCTTATTTGTCTTCATCTAGGTGACTAGTGCTTTTCCCGTGTTGTTACATGTTGGTAAATTTAAAAAAACTAAAAAAACACCTTCCAGACACTTCTGTCAACAGTTTACGGAAATGTTTCTCATTAGCGAGGTTGAGCTGTCACAGGAGTGCAATTTAATCCTCCTGAATTATCACCCCAAAATGCCTAAGTGCTTGGTTTTTAGACGCCGGGTACAAGGTTTGCGGCCCACACTGTCAGGTCCCCAGCTGACGAGGGAGGAAACGAGCGGAAACACAGGCAGGGTTCCCTCTGTCCCCACCTGCCCCCCTCAATACAGTGATACTTATGTCAGCTGCCGGACAGAATATTGCATTTCGCTGTAGATCAAAAACCTCCCCACGGATCATTTTCTTTTCAAGCCTAAGAAGTAAAGGGTGGATGCTGGCTGCTCCCTCCTTTATTTTCCTGGCTACAGGGGCCAGCCTCAGCGA